CTGAGGCAAACAGGGCTAAGTGACTTGTCCAGGGTCACACAGGCAGTAAGTGTCATTGGCCAGATTTGAACTCATGAAGAAGAATCTTTCGGACTATAGGCATGGCATTCTATCCACTGCTCCACCTAGCTGCCCTTTTTGGACAATACTTCTATTTTTGTTGTTGTTTTGGACTTCTGATTTCATCAGCATGGGAGGACTCCCAGTATGTAAATTCCCTCTATTGATATAGATAGACATCTCCTCTGTAGGTTCTAGACTTAAAGAGTTTCCTAGAAACATTAAAAGGTTAAGTAATATGCCCATGGCCACATAGCTATAGTATGTCCCCAAGGCAGGAGTTGAACCCATGACTTCCTGGCTCCAAGACTGGACCTCTATCCACTATGCCATACTGCCTTGCCTTAATGATAGCAAAAACTGTTGTAACAGTTATCTAATACTGCATATCTGCTGGATGATAGACACCATCCTCAAATTAATGCTCAGCTCTTGTCATAATATCATTATGTCATAACAGTGAAAAACTCTAATTAAGAAGATGTGTTTGCCAGGGAAAAAGTTGAGTATATCAGTGAATCTACTTTATCATGTATGGGCATTCCCTCCCCCCACTCCCCCGAATCCCTGACAACTATGAGGCTAAATTATAAGAAGAACATCACAGATGCATGGTGCATTGGACAAAGAACACATGCATGCATTTAAATCACGTATATCTTACTTTTTACTGATGTAATTGTGAAATATGTTCTTTTTGCATTCATAATTAGGGGGTGGAACAGATGGTGAAGGCTTAGTTTAAAATAATCTGTCATTAAAATAACCTAGCCTACTGGTAATTCTTCACTCTAACTGGAGTTAGGTCACAGTAACAGGATTTTTTTTCCCCTGCGTTGGAATACACTAGAAAGAATTAGGGGATTTTAGGGATAGTTCAACAGATGGGGGTCCTTCCCCCTTTACGGGCACCAGAGTAAAATTTCACTGTGTGAAATTTGGCTGTAAGGAATATATAAAAATAGCTGGGTCAAAACTCTGATAAATACAAGTCATTTGGCACAATGCATTAAGCAATGCATTGAACATCAGCATACCTTTAATCATAATGGTACAATAAGTCTCATAGACTTTGAGGAAATAACTCCTTGTCTGACAGATACAGTTAGAGGAACTCAGCTGTTGTGGGGTGGGGGGGCGGAACAGGACGGAGAGGGGAGGTTAAGAACTGTTACCTTACATTTTGTATGTTACACTAATGTCAGGGGATAAAATTGTAATTACTGGCATTATTATCCGGAGGTCTCATAGCCAATGATGTCTACATCTCAACCTCATTTCCACCGTGGACACCACATACTCTTAACTGGGATGGGACAAAGGACATCTATCAGCCCTCTCTGAATAGCTTAGGACTGTTTTTTAATAAGAAGAAAACTGTTTTGATAAATCAGCTACTGTATGCCTTTAAAAGTCTGTTTTACCGTTTCTGCTAAGATTTTTTGTTCTCTAACTGCTTTGAGGAAAGCATATAGATTTCAGCATGGTATTATAATAAATCTTCTGGAGGAGGGACTAGCATTAACATTTGTGTTGGTTCTTTTTCATCTTAATCCAACCTTGGATAATAATCAGAAAATTCTACATAGTGGGTAAGAAGATGTAATTAACCCTTTGACCTCAGAATCTTAATTGGCGCCTGTTGAAAACAGTGGGCAGTTTTAAAAAAATTAAAAAGTAGCCTGCAGTGATTGAAACAGCACAGTACATAATGGCTTTCTCAAATCAAAAAAAAAATTAATGCCACAGAATGTTCAGATTAATCACACTTGGTTCCTGAGTCTAACTGATGAAAATATTTTCTCCCCCTACCTACCCTCTTGAGATCACAGACATCCAAATTCTAACCAGCTTTGAAGGCATTCTGGAACTTCTCCCAGGATCTACCTAACATATTTTGCCCCTCCCCCCAAAAAATCTGGCATAGGGTTGGGGGTGGGGGTGACGGTAATTATAGTAATGCTTATTTCCACAATAGAGAAAACACGTGACAGTGTGAGCAGCGTGGCTTAGTGGAAACAGCATCTGAAGTCAGAGGGACTGAGTTCAAATGCTGACTCTGCCACTTACTACCTGTATAATTTGGGGCAAATCGCTTAGCCTCTCTGGGCTTCGTTTCACGTATAAAATGAAGAGGTCAGACAAGACTTCTAAGGTTACTTCTTCCTCTAAATTCGTGAGCCCATCAACTCTTCCTTTAGAGCTATTAAGCTAAGTAGCACAGTGATTAGAGCACTGGGCCTGGAGTCAAGAAGACCTAACTGTGGATCTTGCCTCAGACGCTTATTAACCGTGTGACCCTGGGCAAGTCACTTAACCTCTATTTGCCTCAGTTCCCTCATCTGTAAAATGGATATAATAATAGTACCTACCTACCAGGGTATTTGGGAGGATCAGATGTGAGAGGTATTTGTAAAGTATTTTGTACCTCTTAAAGCTTTATGTAAATAAAAACTTATTAATAGAAGTAGACACATAATTTAATGATTATGATTATTATCATTATCATTATTATTTCGAAGGTACTCAAACTTGAGATATAGAAATTCAAGATGCTGCTTGTCGGTAAGATGCCACCTGTGTGACCCTGGGCAAGTCACTTAACTCTGTTTGCCTCAGTTTCCTCATCTGTAAAATGAGTTGGAGAAGGAAATGACAAATCACTCCAGTATCTCTGCCGAGAAAACGCCAAGTGGGGTAACAGAGACTTGGACACAACTGAAAAATGACCGAATAACGACAATAAATTTTTTATTCATTTAAAATGGGAAAAATCCAGTCAAGCAGTCTATGTAATATCTGAACAATCTGTGACCCACCTTTTCACCAAACTTATCGACTTTAGATGATGGAATATTTTTGTACAATGTGGACACAGCTTCACTGAAATCTCCCCAGGAAATTAGAACCTGTGTCTAAGCCTGCTTTGTTGTTATTGTTGTTGTTTTGTTTGTTTGCTGCTAAAACAAGGTTTTTAAACGGCTTCCTTTTAATAGATTCTGATGTTCTGCTTCCTGATATTCCTTTTTCTGTCTCTGTTGCCCAAGACTTCTACAGCAGATCTTTTTTAATGCAAGAAAGCCAAGCCTTCTTCACTTGGACCTTAGAAGTATGAGTACATATGGATTATATCATTATCATGTCCTGGATTTAGCTCCAATTATTGATTTTCGATTTGATACATAGAATCATAGAATCATAGATGCAGAGTTGAAAGGTACCTCAAAAGCATTCAAGTCTAACACCCTCATTCTACAGGGGAGGAAACTGAAGCCTAGTGAAATTAAGCAACTTGTCCAAAGTCATATACATAGTAATCAGTCAAGGTAGATTTTGAACCCAGGCCCTCTGCTTCCAATCAGCACACTTTCCAGTCTACCACACATGCTAATCATTTGAAAAGAATGATTTTTTTTCTAAGAAGTTTTAAGCTGTTTTAACAGTACAGATGTTGTAACAAGGAAACTCTAGGTAGATTTGTATTTTATAACTTTATAAATATAAACTAGGGAGTCTTTGTTTTTAAACGCTTTGCCAAGTAATTGGTCTTCGTGCGGCTTATTCTTTTGTACTTCTCACCCCCAAATGCAGACTTGAAATTGTTTCTCCCAACTAGTAAACCAGAGGTGGGGACCAGCATCAGGGGCAGAAATTAATCAGGAAGTGGAGGAAGCAAAACAATAAAACTGCTCAGAAAATACCATTCAATATTTTAAAGAGGCTAAAATTATGACAGGGATTTAGGGGACAGTATATTTCTTTCTGATTTTGCATATACTTCTGTCATCTTCCCCTTACTAAAAAAATCCTTTTGATCTCACTAGATGTGGGTTTCCATGTCTCTTCCAGCCAATGTGGTATTCCAAATATTTTCAGATTCACAACCTCTAATAATATTACCAATCTTTGTAACTTCATAATTATTGTTTTCCCATGGCAAAGTAGAGCGTGTTCACCTTTATGGCACCTTGTTAGATAAATAACACAAAATGAGGGGTGCAGAAGTGATTCAGAGCATAAAACACCCCCTACTTGCAGTGCAAGAATTTAAAGCAAGTTTATTCTCAATTTTAGTGGTGTATTCCCATCTGAGTCCACAGTGATTTATACCATTCATCAAATTGAAAATGCAGCCCTTCATTTGGAAACTGCAGTGAGGTTTCAGGACTTACGGATTAATGTGTGGTATCTCTCCCTTCCCCTACTCCCACTCCCACCCCTACTCCCATTCCCATTTAAGGAGTGGTAATGAAAACTAGATCTCAACCTTAATGTAGAGTTTTACATGTAAAGAATAACGCTGGTGAGATTGTAATGGAGCCACCCATCAACACATTGGTCCTTAATCTGATGACTTGGTTTGTTAGTTATTGCACCATAGAAACATGGAGAAAATGGCATATAACCTTCTATTAATTAACAAATTGTTGAGATGCAAAGTGGCTCAAGTGGACATTTAACATTCTCTACATATAGTCATCCATTTATTTAGTTATTTTCTTTTTTTTTCCATTTACTCAAGACTTCCTTTATGACAATTTCTATTCCTCTTAAAGTTGACTAACAGAGTGTGGCTATTTTCATCTGAGTAACAATTGAAATCCCAAAATCCAAGAGAAGTATTTCATAGCATCTGGAATTTCTCACTTTTATACATTGTGAAATATCTCATGATCAACATGGCAGAGATGTAAGGAGCCCCTCCCAGCCCCCCCCAATAAAAGAATTTTTACAGTAAATTCAGGCATTTTATTCCTTCACATTTCATACAATGCCAAAAAGATGTGAGGGGATACCAAATACGAACAGTTACTGAGCAAAGAAAGCAATGCTCTGAAATCGGCCTGTCTTGCTTTTGTCTTAGTCTGCAACCAATACGACCCTTTACTAAATATCAGTCAATTTATATCTGTCTTTCTTTCTTTCTTCTTCTTCTGCAGTCCCTGGATGGATTCGTATTTGCACTAAATCAAGAAGGAAAATTTTTGTACATTTCAGAAACTGTCTCCATCTACCTAGGCCTTTCCCAAGTAAGTAAAACAAAAATAGCTTCTGAAAGGTGATTGTGTGAATGGCATCACTCTTAGGCTTTTTTCATTCTTCAAGGAAAATTCTGCTTTGCATGAATTATCAAATGTATTATTTAATTGCATCTCCCAACTCTTCTTGCGTGCTCATTGAGAAGCAGGGGTGTCTGTACTGACTGTTCTGAGATAAACTTGGGCTTGAAAACTTCCCCCCCCCCACATTCCCCCCACCCCAAAGAATCATTATTAATTTATTGAGAACAAATGGAGTTTCTTCCCTCAGTTGTTTTGAACTTTGAAACCTCTGTGCCCAGTAGGAGAGGGACACACTAATAGTGCTTCCCTGGTGTCCTATTACTGGATGTTTATGGAGTACCCTGCATTATCCTGGGAGCTGACACAATGACAGAGAGTCATTTGGAGTCAAGAAATGCTGAAAGAGACCATTAAAATGTGTTGTGGGGAGGGTTTCAGCAAGGACATATTTTGCTGCCTTTGCAAATGTTCCTTAATGCTGAAAGACAATTTGATAAAATAAGATAGTTATTCATTTTGTTTTTGCTGTTTAATTACTAACCCATGTTTGTCAGAGGTTAAAAGAAAAGGAAATAGTGGGGGCAGCACAGCAGGGGGAGGGGGAGCCCCTGTACATTGCCTCTTCTTAATCTTTTGTCATGAAAAAGTTGAAATTTAGTATGATTTAAGTGAGGAGTACAGGCTGTGTTAACAGAATGCCAAAATGTCCTAACAAAAAGTGAAAAATTAAGCTAATTATCTGGATGTTTTATCTATTGCAATGCCCAACATCTGGATACTTGGAAATGTCAGGGTGATTGGCTGAATTTGGCCCTTTTCGTTTTGATTCTTGGCAGAGTGGAGTCACAGCCAAAGGGGAAAAGGATGTGTGTATGTGCAAACATGTGCACACACATACGTGCAGGTTTGTGTAATGATCTGCCAAGTTGGATCATCTCCTTCTAACCCCTTTGCCCCGTGGAGATGGAGAAGGAGATATGATTTGTCTCTCTCTTCTTAAACAGTGGCCCACCCCTGGACTCATTGCTCCTGAAAGTTGGCACCATTTTTAAGGAGGTTACCAGTGCAGTTGGAACCTCTTGGTTGCCAGGGAATTTGCTGTGTAATAGATATATCAAGAAAGACATACCAAAATAATGAAGAAGGATATTTGATATTTGAGTGGGAGGTGAGGTAGGAGGAGGGAAGTTGTGATCTGGTAAGAATCAGGATGAATCTTTTTAACTCATGCCTGTATTATATACATTATGGCATTTTCTTCAGGATTTAGCAAGCCAAACCATAGAAATAGAAACTGAGCTATTGTTAACTCAATATTAGTATTCTTGTATCTCATTAAAGCCCCTAGTTTTGTAATAGGCTTTAATCCTTGCCCTAATCTGTTTGGGACTCAGTATCAAGGCTCTCCAATTTTGAACTGGTGCGCCACCATCTTGCTAACACTGTCAACCTCCAGAACTGGGGTGTTTATGATTATATTACGCTTCTATTAATCTGTTTTATGCATAGTATCCAACAAAGTTTAATAAGCCAGTAAAGAAGAAGGATGAATAATTAGCTTAAGCAGGTAAATGCTAATTATGGAACTCCTGAAAGGCATCCATTATACAGTCGCTTAAAACAAATTTTACAGCCCTGGTTAGTGGTGTAATCCAAATTCTGTCAAGGCAACTGCATTTTCTGTAATTGAGATGTGTATGTTTGCTTTGCATAACAGATGGCTCTGTATGCTTAGACTGATAGCTAGGAAAATAATAATTGCATTATTCTGGCCAAAAGAATATTAGCTCTTGGGTTTTGGCCATTTCAGTCAGTCCTCCTGCCAGCACAGCATATGCACATATATGGATTGGATTTTCGAGGAAATTGATGCATCTGGAATAGTGTGGCCATCTGAAATATCATCTGTTCAAGAAAAATTTGGCTTTAACCCTGTGCTAGTTTCTCCTTAAAAGCATTTTATTCCATTGCTTTTCAACCATAGTCATCGGGTCTATATTTACCCTAAATCTGTGTCAAATTGTTGAACTTCTGCTAAATAAAATAGTTATGTGGACATGTTACAGTATTTGGCATCTCCTGCATAGGCAATCCTACTCTTTAGATAAAACATGTTTCTGGATATTGCTCCTGAAAGTAGATGACTGTCCAGGAAAATATAGACTGCATGTACTGTGTTGCCTTCATTGGTTTGAGCCACATTCAGAATCTTTGGTGGAAACTGTCAAATGAACAGGTAAAGACAAAAAGTAGAGCATCAGTTTTTATTAGGCAGCATTAAGCGGATAGAACAGGGAAATGTAAAGCAGCAAAAAGGTCTATACTACCTTCTGGGGCTTCTTTACATATATGATCATCAGGATATCTGGGGCACAAAAATCAAAGAGAAGATTGAGGTCATATGAATATTAGATGAATATGTTAAGTCTCAGATACTAATGCTGTGGGCTAGGGGGAAGAAATCCTAAACAAAGATTTGGGGATAGATCGATGAAGTAATGTATGTAAAATATCTTGTTAATCTTAAAGCAATATGTAAATGTTAGCTATTTGAATATAATAAAATAAAAGCTTAGAGAAAAATTGGAATCCTAATTAAGTAATTGAGAAATACCCCTCATATCTTTTCAGTGACCACTTCAGGGCTCTTAGGGGTTCATCAATGAAATTAAAGGAAATGCTACTCCAGCAGATCTCAGTTAGGCTTCATAAAGCATCTTTTCTTTTTTGAGGAATCATCCCAAATGTCTTAGCAATCTCTCCTTAATTCCATTCTCATCAATATTTTTTTGAAAATTATTAGAGGAGGAAGAGACAGTAGTTTGTTGAATTCCTGACACTCATGTGGAACCAAGAAGGATTGGCAGATATGAACAGTCCTCTCCTTTGTAAATGATGCTGTTAGTTCGAGTGGCAAATTCAGATGTTGAAGACAGACCCTACACGGATTCTGTAGAATAATAGGACAGATTGGCAAGTTGTTATATGTTATTGCAACTATCATTTTAAACCACCAGTTTTATCTTTTCCTAATTTCTTGTTTTTTTCTGAAGTGTTTAGAGGTATACAGGTTTTTAAAATCCATATGCCTAGGAAAGGATGGGGAAAAGATCCATTGAGTCATGCTTTGTTACATTACTGCAAACGCTGCCAAATTGGTTTTTCTCTCTTACACTCTGTTGGGCCAGAGCAACAGCTGCTAATGTCTAAGAAATGTTCATGACAGTCATTTTCGTTAAAGTATTCCCAGAGCTGGTCCCACTATGACGATGTCAATGAAATTGACTCTGATGATGTTGGAAACCACTTTGCTACCCTTTTAACATTGTAATATATATGTATGTATGTATATATCGATACATATATACACATATGAAATATAAATGTGTGTGTTTATATGTATATAAAATATATGCATGTCATACATATATATCCATATCTGTATAGCTGTAGCTATATATTTAAACTAACTTCTAATAAGTAGATTGCAGATTAGAAACAAGAGTAATTTCTGTCATTGTGGGCCATGACTCAGCGCAAGGCTTGATCTAAAGGGAAGATCCCCAGACATCAACTGTAGTTAGCATTCATGAGGACCAAACTACTCTGTCCAAGGTACTTCACCCTGATGTGGCATTCACAGCTATTGCAGAGCAATATCAGGGTTCTCACCTTAACTAGAGACAACTAGGAGAAACAGGACAGACTAAGAGAGAAAGAAAAGGAAAACAAGTGGATTCAGCTTGACTGCGAGTGTGAATAATAATCTATCTTGTGAAATTCCCCAGAAAGAATCAAGGGAACCAGGGAGCCCCACCCCAAAGAAGACACAAGAAGCTGCATATTAGTTTACTAAGTGACTTGCCCAAGTTTTCACACGTGGTAAGAAGCACTATTCCCACCCAGTGCTCCACTGCCAAAAGCAATGACAGCCCAGCCATTCCACAGCCCTGCAGGTGAGGCTAAGAATTAGGCGAAGATGGGCTGATTTGCCTCCATCAGTGCTGTCTTTTATCTGAGAAATAAGAATGGTCGCATGAACCACCATCATTTAATGCAGGCAATCTCACCAACACCATAAATTCCACAGTTTTCCTTGGGAGACCTGATTTGACTTTCCAGTAGAGAATGCCTTTACCATTCTCAAAGGTAAGCAGGTAGAACTCTAGATACAGGCAAAGTCAATGATGTTTTCCTTGCAATTTGTTTTTTTTTTTAATTTCTAGAGGAACCTGTTTTTTTTTTTTTTTTAAGTGGCCTGCAGAGACTCCAGAAAGTAGCTAAAAAGTGTGGGGCAGGTCACTTAACATCTTTGAGATTCAGTCTCCTTATCTGTAAAATGGGGGAGGGGGAGGGGGGGAACTTGGATTGGATCATAGGATTTAGAGATGGAAGGTCCTTTGTAGAAGTGTAGTCTCCGCTTTAGATCCAGAAGTGCCCCTTGCACAATATTTTGTTGTTGTTCGGTTTTTTTCAGGTATGTCCGACTCTTCGTGACCCCATTTGAGGTTTTCTTAGAAAAGATAATGGAGTAGTTGCTCATTTTTACAGATGAGGAAGTGGAGGCAAGCAGGGTTAGGTGACTTGCCCAGGGTCACACAGCTAGGACGTGTCTGAGGTCAAATTTGAACGAGTCTTCTTGACTTCAGGCCCAGCACTCTCCACACTATGGCGCCACCTAGCTGCACAATATAAAACATAAAGTTAGAACTGGAGAAATCATCCAGGCAATGCCTTCATTTTGCAGGTGAGGAAACTGAAGCGCAGAGAAATTAAATGACTTACCTAGGGTCACACAAATATAAATGGCAGAGGAATAACTCTTTTCCCCTACACAATTGCTGATCTCTAAGATCCCTTGTTCTAGCTCTAAATCCTATTATCTTAAGGAAGCGGGAGAGCAAGGAAGTCGAAGAGGAAACATTCTTAATGAGAATATACAAATATGCTAGCATTTTCTAAACTAT